TATATTTATATTTATTTTTTTTTTTTTTTTTACTATTTAAATGTGATGCTTTTTATCAGTTTGAGATGGCTCTAAATGATTGACAGGTTTATTGTGGAAAAATATTTTATATTAAATTATATATTTGTATATATATAAAAATATTACTTCATTTTTCCGCAGATGAACACATACTAAGTCAAAGATGATTGGAGAGTTAGAAACTTAAAACGAGCCTTTTATGACTTTAGAGCCTGTTCGCGTGTCGGCCAGAGGGGGCGCTGCTGCACCGAACTAAACAAACCGAGGAGGAGGAGGAGAAGAAGAAGGACAAGAAGACCACCGGCTCCTCTGAACTGCACAAACAAAATGGCTTTTAGTTCAGCTTTGAGAAGCGGTCGTCGCTTATCAGGTATGCTGACTGAAAGTTCAGGTATAAAATAAAAATAAAAGCTCGATTTGTGCGCATGCATTATTCGTCCTGTCCTCGTTCCCTAAATAAAACCAGAGACTGGAGGCTGTTAGCTGTTAGCTTCAGCTGCACTAACTAGAAGCAACTAGTTAGCTACGGTTTAGTTGAGTGCTTATGTTTGACGTTTTGATTTGTCAGACCTTGCATTTATGCTTCTATGAGAAATGTAATTCATCATTTGATGCTTAGAAGTTTGTTTGTTTTTCTTTGCAGTGGTGGAGAAAGTACTCCAAAACACTGTACTTAAATAAAAGTACAAATAAACAAACAAAAATGTACTCTAGTAAAAGTAGAATTATCACATTAACGTTTTTACTTAATTAAAAGTACGTAAGTACTTGCTTTTAAAAATACTTAAAAGTACAATTACTTGCTGAATGTATTACCTAATGCAATGGTCTACAATATCATTAAGTATTCCTACCATATGTATATTTTCTGTAATACATTAATAGTGTTTTATCATTTTAATGAACGATGCTGCAGATAATACATGTTTTTATTGTGTTTACTCTGTGACACAGTTCAACTTGGACTTGTGATTCTGTGGGTCAGAATTTCAGGGATGACCTGCAGAGTTAAATGTCATTAAGCAAAATAAGAAAGAGGAATGATTATACCTTTGAAAGTTTTTATTTAACACAAAGTAAAACCAATGTGTCATTTTAACTGCAGCAAACACATTTAAGTAAAAGTTGTCTGTTTGAAAAAAGGAGCATTAGACCAAACAAAGGAACAGGCTCTGATCATTTCAACTCCAGTTTGTCATCAACTCTATTTAAAATACTGTCTATTCAACCTTGTAATGGGTCAATATTGAACAATATTTTAATTTCATGACACCATGTTCAAAACTTGGACCTGAGTGTCGAGACATTTGGAGACATCTCTTGTCTCCTAACATCATGAACTGACACATTTTAATATTGCAGCAAGAATTTCTTGTTCAAGTTCAGAAGAAGTTGGTTTTCAAAGTTTTTGAGTCCAATCTGGCTCTTTAGGGAGAGAGAAGCTGTCCTGTTGTACTGAGCAGTCTTTCAATAGTATTTCAATAGTATTCCAATATTCTTTCAATAAGGCCATGGGTGGTGTGTATCTTCTGGCTGACTCTCCATAGTGGAATCCAGTTTGGGTGTGTTAGTGGTGCTGTGGGTGCTCCCAGCTCAATGATGTAAATACTAGAACATACGTCATTGGTCCAGCTCTTCTTGAAGGCAGGTCTAATGTCACCTGCTCACTTTGCAGTGATTCAATGGACCAGCTCCTTTCACCATTGGTTACTTTCAAACTAAAGAACAAATCAAAAAAACAACGTGAACGTAACTTGTAACACAACTCACTATAGAAATGTATTGTAGTAGAAAGTACAGATACTTAATGTAAAATGTAGTGGAGTAAAGGTCAAAAGTGCCCGCGTTTAACTACTAAAGTAAAGTACAGATACATGAAAAATGTACTTAAGTACAGTAGCAATGTACTTGTACTTGATTACATCCCACCACTGGTTATTTGATGCTTAGAAGTTTTTCAGAGTTTGTATCGTTTTCATCGTCATCAAAATAAGTGACGTCACGTTTACTATGTTAAATTACAATAAACTTTTGTTTCTCATTGTACCTGAAAACATTTAAATATATTTGGCGGCTGTGAGTGACGCTCACAGTGTCTCTGGGTGATACAGTTATGAGTTTGTGTTATTTATAATGTGCTTTGTACATACTTGTTGAAAGAATGTTGTTTTTGTGTTATGTTTTTATAAAGGTCTTGCGTCCTGGATGTCCTCCGGCAGCAGTCGTGGCAGGGTGTGCGTCCCCCCCATCCTGATCACCCAGCAGAGAAACCAGTCCTCCTCTTCGAAGATCAAAGTAGATTTTGATCAAAGTACAGGTGAAGATTGTGCCATTACTCCTTGATCTTGTTTCAGAGCTCTTTTTTTAATTGACATACTTTTGGTGTTTAAAATATTTTCTTTTTACCAATTCAAAGACGAATGCATTTATTTCCTTAAGACAGTGGGTGGAGCATGAGGTGTACTTGACTGTAGTAAGAGGAGCTACAATTATTGGATAAGGAAAGTCCACCCTCTTTTAGATCTAGGGTTTTTACATATCATATGTGTCAAACTCAAGGCCCAGGGGCCAAATGTGGCCCTCTTTGACATCTTATCTGGCCCTCAAGATGATATGTGAAACGTAAAATACTTCTATCTCTTGAATTTTTTCAGTAATCTTTGATTAGGATGTTGAAAGCACAACAGGGAACATCAAACGAGACCAATCAAACTCTTGTTGAGGAGCCTGGGACCAAGAAAAGATGTTGGTATCTGATTTGAGTTGATGTAGTTTCGGAAATTATCCTTTAGTTTGAAAAAGGTTTTAATTGTTGCTGTTTTAAGTGCTATATAAATAAATTGGTATGGTATGGTATGGTAATGTTGGCCCCCTTTTGTGAGTTTGACATCCCTGATCTAGATTATCTGATTTTGACCAGATTTGTGTGAAAGTCAAAGTCCACCATTTGAGCTTCCATTGGATTTAAGAGGGAAAGTAGCAGCCAGATGCTGCTGGTCAACTGTACTGCTTATCTGATCATCATCAGTGTGATCACCTCTATAATACCAGTAGTTTTGACATTTTTCTACTCTGGAGCGTACATGTGTGCTAACACAACGCTAGCAGGGAAGTGACCGGCAATGATCTTTTAGAAACAGCTGTTGCTGCTCATCAATCTGGGAAGGATCCATTTCATTTTCAGATGACCTGGAGTCCATCAATTTACACAGTTACGTTATTCACAAGTGGCTGCCGATCTTCACAGAACCATCCCAGCTAAATCACTCCCAAGGTCAGACTGTGCAATATTCAGAGAAATGACAAAAAATAACCCAAGAGCTCCATCTTAGACTCTACGTGCCTCAGACAGCAGGTTTAAGATGAAAGTTCATGACAAGACATGGACAATTTAAAAAAAAGTCTGAACAAGTGTGGCTTGTGTGGAACTTCTTCTGTCTCCTGGCAGTATAATAAAGACTTGCAGCTGAAGGTTGGACCAAACTAGGCCGTGAAGCAACAGAACAATTATCCCAAACACATTAGCAAACCTTGAACAGAACAGTTAAAACATGAAAGAATCACGGTGTTGCAACGGTCCATAGTTCAGACCCTAACCTTCTGGAATGCTGGGGTGGACCTTTAACAGAACTGAGCAGAAACAAATGTCCACAAACAACAAACTGAAGCCATGTTGGAAAGAAGAGCAGGCCAGATTTCCTCCACAGCCACGTGAGAGACAAAGTCCTACAGAAGACCACTCATGAGCGTTATTGCTGCTAAGGCTGAGTCTATAAGCTGTTGGATCATCAGATAGAGGTTTTTCACACACAGCTTTTTTATTTTAGCTTCAGTTTTGTATAATAAATAACCACAAAATGGGATCTGTAGTGTGTTTTTGGATTAAAATAATTTTAAAACTTATATCATGTTTATTATGTCTCGGAAAAACTCTTGAAAGAAAGTGGGCTTTCTTTTTTCCACGAGTTTAGGTACACTAAGCAACAAAATTGACTTATTGTAGTAAGAGAAGGCAATGTCCCTAGGACACTTACTAATGCATTAAATGGCTCAAAGTCAGCACAGAATTCTGAAGGTTTCTTTGATTTCACTAGAGCTGAATTTAACTGCATTATATGTGGCTGAAAACGAGCTCGCAACAAGCCAGATGTGTGTAAGTGCATGCTGCTGACATGGTGTAAGGTTTTATTACAGTGGTTTCCAGTTGTGCCAATTTACTGCATGTCACATGAATAGAGTCCATAATCCTGAGCACATGATAAAGTCATGACCTGCTCAGAGTGCTGAAGACTGACCTCTCCTGTGTGTCTGCAGGCGTGGCAGTGATGCACATGCAGAGTCCTCCGGTCAACAGCCTGAGTTTGGATTTCCTCACAGAGTTCTGCATCAGTTTGGAGAAGCTGGAGATGGATAAAGGCTGCAGAGGTCTCATCATCACCTCGGTACGGTGCTGACTCATCATTTAACACCCGCGCTGCCCTTGAGTCAAAATGACCCCAAAGTCTTTAGAGTCTTAAATCTGAGATATCTGGATTACTTTGACCTGAGTACAGCAGTGGGGTTAAACACAGACTTTTTTTAATCCAGTTAACTAATAGAAGGCCTAGCATTCCTGAGGATAATTCATATCGCCTGCCGGCATTCAGAATCAGAATGAGCTTTGTCATTGCACCGAGATACAACGAGGACATGTACGTACAGTCGTCTGAAAGATGAACGGAGTGCACGAAGCTGCTACTATAAAAAGTGTGGCTCTTTTATTCAGAATAATATTTTTGCTTAGATGAGACAAGGGGAAGAAAACATGAGGAGAGACGGTATAAAAAAAGATCTCACACCTTGTTCTAGACGGGGCACAGTATGAGGCATCAACAAAACTACCACAGCAAAGCAACATAAATAGACATGATACACATCAGAGTTTCCCCTACCATTATACAAGCGGGGCGCCTTGCCCCGTCAACAGAACCGAGCGCCCCGTCTGCTGAACCCCACCCCCCAACCACCTGTCAGCACTGATGTAATGCTAAACTAGCAGCTCGCAATTCAGGTGCACTAGCTAAAAAGCTCAAGGCAGCCTCTTCCTTCATGCTGAACCCTCACGCTGAATGCACCCCCGCCACTCAAAAACTGTAGGTACAAACAGTGCACGGCTCAGATGGGCGTCTGTCTCTCTCCCCAGCCGACCCACCCCACACACCCCCCCCCCCCCCCCCCACAAAACCCCCAACTGTGGGTTCAGACAGCGCTCGGCTGAGATGTGTCTCTGTCTCTCTCCTCTCACACACCCTGCTCTAAAACTGTCAGTACAAACAGCATGCGGCTGTCTCTGTGTCCCCCAAAACTGTTGGTTTAAACAGCGCGCTGCGCAGCTTAGGACAAGTCTCCGTTCCAGCCCCGCCCCGGACAAAAATCATGGATGAGATGAGCGCCCCGCCATGGCAAGTTATTTAGGGGAAACACTGCATATGAGGATGGTGAAGGCATTGAATTTTTAAGGGTAGGTCGTAGCATAGTACAGAGCCCTCCCCCCACTCTCAGCCATTGTCTAGATAAGAGGTGTTATGTATCATCAGCTCGGCTGAGGTTCCATCACATGTCCACAGCCTCCACAGCCTTGGGAAAGGGAGGGGTGAGGCGACAGACAAAGTGTGTTTGTTTTTTCTAAACATATCAGGAGGAGTTGAGATAAGTCTGCCGTCAAGGCCACAGTTTGGGTCAGGCAGAACTCATGAATTGCTGTTTCTGCCTTTTAAAGTCTCGCTGGTACATTTCTCTGATGGTGACTCCAAACAGCCGAATTGATTCCTTACGCCAAAAGTCGAGCTCCCAGCTTTCTCCAAGATTATTCCTACCATTCATGGGTGCTGCCAGAAAGTTCACAGTCCTGATATCAGCCTGCTTCAGCTCTGACGCAGCTCCACGTAATTCAGTCCGAGTGCTGCCAAGCTTCGACACATCCACATGAATTTGTAGACGGTCCAGATTTCATCAACCCAAACAGCAAAATCCAGTTGTCATCATGAATCCAATTTGTTTCCGTCAAGGGAAGAGGGTCCTCCTTACTTTGACTTCCTGTCGGGAGAAGTTGATCAATTTTGTTGAGAGACCAGATTATCAAAATCCTTTGAATGTGGAAGGTGTGCAGAAAAAAATAGGCTCTTGGAAGGGTTCACAAGACTAAAGAGAGCAAAGCAGGGAAGTGGGGGGGACGGAGCAGAAGAGGGCATGTCTGTCTTCACCAGAGCACAGAAAAAATAAAAATAAAAAAAACCTTCATGTCAGTTTCAGACTAAGATCATCTTTTGTTGTAAAGTGACAAACCTTAAAAAATAATGTTGTGTACAATTCACACAAGATGTCACACTGATTGTGTATTGTGGATGACTGTCGGCTACCACCACACTGAACAGTGGGCAGCCATTGTTGTGTCTTTTTTTAATGCCAGTTGACCCACACACACCAATGTTTGTCTTTCTATCTTTACAGGGACTTTGCATTGGCTTCCATTCATTTTTCATTAATTTCTATAGCCTAACCCTGACTCCTACCCTAAACCTAACCATTACCAGTACAAACCTAACCCTAAACCTAACCATTACCAGTACATACCTAACCCTAAACCCA